GCAAGTGGATCTATTCTTAAGGATAGTATCATACTATGATTTACCAATTTCTCTTTCCTCTTTTATTGTTAACATACCTAGGTTCCTGCCTGGAGGTTTTGGTGACCCCCCGCTACTAGACACGGAAGCCTGTTAAGCGAAAGCTTCTTCTATTCAGTCCACAACCAATTGAACACATGAACTAGGTGCTGAGAGGCTCGCTTATCACAACTTTCTTGCAACGATTAAGTAGATAAAACAAAGTAGCATTGGATTCAATACTTTTTGAAGAATTTTCATTCAGAATCGAATATCAAACAAAGGTTTAAACCAAGTTCCCGTTTAAAAGTTGTATTGGTAATGTTAAGCTGCAGTTTTTGTTGTTTTTTTCCAAACGAAAGAGTAAAAGTCAAAAAGTACTGGAAGTGGTTGTGAGACTAAAATGGAAGTCAAGTATCCTTTTTATAATCTGCTATTCATTGGGTCTCCCGTAATCAGTTCCATAGGGCCATAGTTCCAAGGGCGAAACAGTTTTTAGGGTCTGTGAAGGCACTCCTGTTGCATTCTAAATGAAAAAAATAGTGATGAATTTAGTCAGAAATGTGGAATAGATAAATAACCAAATTACATGTTTTTTAGCAAAGAATTTATGCAGTTGTGATTTACCTTGAGTTCATGAATATTAGATAAGGTCAGCTACTATTACTTGCGCAAAGCATAACATGGGCTTAGTACCGTATTGCAATGTTTTTATTATTTTGCTCCCATTTAAGTATTCCCATGCATCTGTGTCTAGTTTAACAGGAAAACATACAAGCAGAGTAAGTGTCTGATAAACTAAAAGTCCCAGTTGTCAAAAAGATTCTTAACATTTGTCCACAGCCAGCTGCATTTAATTGAGATACACAACACTCACGTTCTAAGACTGTATACTGCTGTTTTGCGGGCAACTAAAAGCTCAGACACTTAGCTATCTTGCTACCGATGTTATTGCTGGGGAAATTGTTAAGTGACAGTTATCATGAAATATTGTCAGTGACAGATGTACAGTTTAGAAAGAAATACCAAACATATATATATATATATATATATATATATATATAGCGATAAGTATACTTATCGCTATCTTATAATGTATGACAGCAATAGCATCAAAGGCACGTTTTTTCCTATTTTTAATCAGACTGATCTGAATCCGTATACACATTAGAAACAGGCAGCTCTACTTACTAAACTGATCTGTTTCGTTACAGGCTTCAAACACTATACTTAAGTATATCATAATTCTTTCAACTAAACTGAATTATACGACAACCACGAACACTAAACTAAGCAACTGTCATAGTTATTGTTTCACTTGCAAAGACATGTTGCTCAAAGAAGTTAAATGGACATAATTAAGCCCATAAAACCAAAGCACGAAATATAGGCCAGTTGAACTTACCTAAAAAAAAGAAGGATACATATATACCGCTTTAAAGCAGTATTCAGTATGAATTCATACTGAAGACAACAGGGAGTTGATCATAGAAACACAGTTTACAGTACAACAAACCTTTCTTCAGTAAAATCATGCACTGACAGTCTATCTGGAAACAATCAACTATAAGAATAAACTCACTATGACTTGAGATATCATCTCAGCATGCAATGGACGTACAGTGTAACGCAGTCAGACGTGGCGAATAAAAATTAAAAACAGAGAAAAATTAACTACATAATCTAGTTATTTAATTAAAAATACATTATGAAATGACAAAATCTGTGGTTACTTGAACGCACAAATGACAGCGTGCGATACATTAAGTTTACATGGTTGCGTTGCGGATAAGATCACCCGACTAAGTGTGGTCTTAAGTGAGGGCATCTATATAGATGCGAGCACATTGACTACTTAATTGCAGGCCCTCTAAGATAAATGAATAAGATGCTAACACAGTGCTGAGTAAAAGAACAGGAACCAAGTCTAAAGGAAAGCTACCTAATAGTATATTGTTATCGAAATAATACAACGTGGGGGTAAGTTCGTAAATAAATAACTAGGATAAAGATGTGTAGAATTATGGTCTACTATGATATTAGTACTGCTCTAATAATAGACCTAATCCTAAAATTGTAGATTTGTCATGATATAACTGCCTAATCTATAAGATCTTACGTGGAAGTCACACCATCGACTACACCAACTCACTGAATCGTAACAACTACCAATACATGATGTAGAACAAGGTTAGGCTAGAGAAAGAACAATATATTTAATATGAATAAAAGATATAAGGTAATATTCAGAGGGACCACGCCTGCATGGCTGAGCCATGCCATCCGATTAACTTCAATTCATTCAATTCCTTGTTCGCGCCTTCCCCATCGTTAGGTATTTCTCCGCGTTAAATATTGAATATCTATTTTCCGAGTAGTCTCGTGTTCAGCTTTGAGGATTGTATGATTATGGTCCAATGCCACTACGCTACTCTCCCACCAGAATCAACGTGATGTTGGTTCGATACCGAATTGGATGGAATTGTCGTGCGCTGAAGGTTACCAAGACTAGTAAGAATCCTCCGGGTAATGATAAGCTGAAAGAAAAATCAAAAAGAAGGCGGCAGCATCTGGTCGGGAAATATTTGTAATAATTTTAAAATACCTGCCTTCATGCTTAACACGCTTAAAATGAAAATTTGGGTGGAGATTATTTGAGCTATAGAAAATGGGATTACAATAGTAATAATAAAACGATGCGTGTTGATAGCCGTTGGGTTAATAACTTAACTCATACGTGGTATGTATTTTGTGTTTAGAAATATTAAAATTAATCAATATTGTAGAAATGTAACCACCAAAAATGTTTGGATTAACAGTTATTTTACAGGTTATTACTACGTATTCTTCCTGGAATAGGATGGCATGGCAGTAAGTGCAAAATATGGAAAACAAAAACCATTTGACACTAATGTTTTTGTCACAGTTACTGTACAACTTTAGACAATGGGCAACTAACGCTCCATCTTTTCCAAGTTCAGACATCCCCAGAGAAGAATTAAATGAGTTACATGTGTAGTTTGCAATGCATCAGATGGACTAATTTACACCCTGAAGTTTCGAAAGTAAGTTCGTTGTTATCTGCTCAACTTTGAAGTCCATTAGGATTCACCTGAAACGTCAGCTAATCATCTTTGTTTCGAAGTGATCTCCAAAGTTTTACCACGTGAGCGAAGAAGAGAATTGGATCACTATAATTTGCGTAAGCTTAACGCATGTATTTCACAACAAAACGAATTCTAATGAGAACCAGATATGCTCATTAATAGCCATCAAACTAGATAAAAAGCCTAAACACAGTCTTACATCTGGAGTCAAAAGAATTTTCCGAAATACAGTACAAAAATATTTAAGTTACACACAGGATGTATTTTTTCCACACTCTGCACGATTTTCACACCAAATATTGCAAATTGATATCCTTCTTTAGAAAAAGCAAGCGCTCTCAACCCATCGGAATCACTTTCTATTGAAATATTCAGGATATTTATGATATCAATGAAGGATGAACTTCTATAGTTGTCATTACTAGTTCGTCTGTATTCCACCAGGTAGTACCCTTAGATTTAGAGTTCAGAGAGTAAACATCTTAGGGGTTGCAATTTGTACGTAACAATTTTTAAGATAAGCTGGTTTCCAGTAAAAATCCCATTGAGCGTTCACACTGAAGATGACACAGGTATTCAGTGTATGACAACGCTTTTACCAGTAACACCTTCTAATATAACTCGTTCCCACCCAGAGAAATCAAAAGACAGAGTCGAGGAGATCGGAATAGTGTATTTGGCGATTACCAATATATCGAAATTCTCTTATCCAATCTGGCTAGCGATTGCGGTAGATGTTGAGCACAGCGTTACCACACGTGATCTGGTGCGGATGCCTGACCGAGCGCCTTCAGCTAGATGAGTCCACTAAAACATATGGTCAGCATCCAATGTCGAAAACTTACAGAGCTATTTATTTTGGGGATTTATTTACCGCTACAACACATTTCCAAGTTCAGCTATCGTAGTGAAATTGGCAATTCACCGGACAATAACTAGCTATATTCATTGTGTAGAAATAAAAGTGTTTAACTCTTTGGTCTTCATTAAGAGGTATCTACGTACGAATTAATTGATATTGGTTTTTATAAAGTTTTATGTAAGAGCTCCATCGTGTAAGATGAGAATTACTGAGTAAAGTAGTCGGGTCAATTAATCAAGAAGCAGAAACTGAATGGCTATGGAAACTAAGTTTTATCTTCACAGATTGTACAACGTCTCTAGGCCTATGTATGCGAACAAGAAATCTGGTTCAAGTTAGTGGGTTTCCCAAAATTGGACGGTACCCAAGGTTGTGTATCGCGCCAGTGCAATAGTAAGTTTTCGACATAAATAATATCACCAAACCCAGTAACACAAAGCCGCTTTTTTTGGAAAGTTTAGCTTTATCTCATAAGGTTATTGTTATCGAAAAGATAGTCAATTGGTATCTGTAAGTCTGCTGATCAGCAATCCGGATTACTAGCTAAGGAGAAATCGGACTACTGTAAACCATAATTCTAATCCATCGTACTGGTTTATGAGCCCTACTTATTCATAGATAGCAGGTGGTTACAATAGCGTTTCTCAAAAGCCGTCCATAACTATTCTTGGTTCAGCTTTCAAAGGCCAACTAGAGGGACCCGACCGGTTTCCAAAAAACTGCAATATTTGGATACTCATTCCTTGTGACATTGCACGTAGTTTTAAATATCCCGTCTGGCTTGATAAAAATGTTGACCGGGAGGGAATCTACCTATCCGAACACACTGGCAAGGACCCTAGTGTTCCTCAATCAACCAACAAAGGGGAAACTAGTCAGTGTCTGCTTTTTCGCCTGTCCAGGGGAAATGATACTGATTTTCCCCTCTTTGTCGCTTAGTTGTCTACCTTCCGCCTAAATATACGCTAAATTGTCTACTTTTCCTCCAACTTTTAAAACACCATTAGCATAACCCCAAAGGTCTCCTATGTTCGCCTTTATTCCCATAACACAATAGATCTATTTAACCATTCGTCAGTATTTATATATTCCAGGTTACTCGGCTATGTATAATACTAATCATACTCGCACTAGGCTTAAAGATGCTATGTATTCTAAAAGGACGTGTACGTGGTAGGTTAATTACATGTCAGAGTCTACGCTCATTTATCTTACTGTCACTAATCTACTGGTCGAAAGTATGTATTGAAAGACAAATGTTATCTTACCATTCCCACTAAAAAATTAAAACTAGCATCAAACGATTCCCCACAATAATGTGTAAGCCTCATTTATCTATGGTAAGTTGGTGAGCATTCTCAGGGTCGCTTGAACGCCGTTCATAAATCATAGTCTCGTCTTATGGAATGCCACTTTAAAATGCAGAATACCTTCTAAACTGAACTGACCCTGATTTGCAAATCTGAGGAAATCACTGAAATGCGATTGGTACGGCAGAGAACACTATGCATCAACAGGTAAAATAGTCGTTACCAGCAAAAATCTTGAGGTAGTTTTATTAAGTACATAGGCTTAAAAAAAGAAAATAACCCTCAAAACACAACATAAGCTTTATGTTAAGAGAAGAGGCAAGACTACAAGGCTGTATCCAACAAAGCTCAAATCCTTAAAAGACAGAATTGTCCTCCGTCCACAAAACGTAGCGATGGTCAACGTGAAATTAGATGAGAACCATATGCTCCCACTTGTATCGGGGCAACTTTCCTATTATCAAACTTCCTTCATAATGTTACAACAAAGGCAGTTCTGCTATCCATACAGCATTAAATAGAGGGATAAACTCCTAAAAATGTAGAGATTTCTGTGATAAAGCAAATAAAACTAGTCAGCACGACAACTATGACCTTCACTGCTACTAATTTTAGATCAAAATACTGGTGGGTAATTAAAACTTGAATTACCTCCGATATGCTAATCACTTTTATTCTTGTAAATCCTTTATGCTAGTTGCACCAGTTGTCAACTCATTTTGTGGACTATGAGTTAAATCAAACCTGTTTTTGACTAGTCATACTTAGTTGCAAATCACAACACGTAAAACGGCAATAATATCTAAAGAAATCAAAATAACCATTCAGTTTAGTAGTAATAAATAACTTATGTTTTAGATGGCCGAACTATTTTTAGACCCATCTATTCGATCCTGGGTATTCCTTCCTCTTGTAATAATTACTTTCCTCTTTGGGGTTTTACGTCATTACATGACTATCATGTTCACCAGTGAGAAAAAGGGTGAACTTGAGAATATCGGTGATAGGTAAAGCCTTGAGTTCAACTTTTTTTACCGTTCCAGTCATGCCTTAATCCGCAGTAGACTTTTACGTGAAAATGGAAGATTCTTGCCCGCAAAAGTAAGATTTGGAAATAGATAGATATTGTAGGCTTTTAAAATGCGCAAGTATTTCTTCAACGATAAGGAGCATGGGTTTTTTAAAACACAAAAGCGAGAAAGTCCAATGAATAATCCAATGGCTGGTAAGTCTCATACACTACAACCAAGTTCCCGACAGACCCCTCAATGGCAACTGAGATGCTAAGAAGCAATGCGCTCAATATGGTTCCAATGATTGTTATTGGCAGCTGGATCAACTGGGCTTTTTCAGGCTTCTTGACCACGAAAGTTCCATTTCCACTCACTTATCGATTTAAGCCCATGCTTCAAAGGGGCTGTGAGTCGCTTACTTCTCTGGATGCATCTTGGTAAATTTTTGTTTAATAGTCGAACCGGTTTTAGGGTTAGCTCTGCATCTTGGTATTTTCTGAACATATTTGGCCTCAGAAGTATGTATGGTTTGGTACTTGGTTCGGACAACGCAGCTGATAACTCGATGATCTTGCCAGATCACCAAGTACCTACACCACAAGCTCCACAGGATATGCAAAAGGCGTTCAAGGCAGAATGGGAAGCATTGGAAGTAGTCGACCATCATTGGGCTTTAGCAGACTGTGAAACAAGATTACTGAACAGATTATCTTGATGCGTTCAATTCTTCTTTAAATGTCAATATACTCTGTTTTTCGAAAGTCTTTTTGGAAAAAAGTAATCAGAAGAATCTTATCGTACATAGGTGTATTTCAGGAAGGTGAATAAGAGGGCTAATAATAGAACGTCCACACACATATCTTAAACGCACAAAATCGTGGATAAATGCGTTTAGGAAAAAATATAATTTACAAGGAAATATTATGTGGTGGTTAATAGCAAATGAACTTGGGATTCAGGCAATAAAATGTTACTGAAAAAGATAAATTAATTCGATACAAAAACTCGAGATCAGATCAACAAAATATTAAAACAAATCATCCTCGGAAAGTGATTTCAAAAGAATTAAAACAGGATCTCTGCCTCACAAGAGGTATCATCACCTATGAAATAAGAAAATCACAAATTCAAAACATTGATAAGATTAAAAAACTAGAAACAGAATAAGTGATAAACCGTTAGGGTTTTGGAAATCAAAAATGTGTTAACCGATCGGAGACATGTCAAGTTTGGTTCTAGTCGTAAAAACACATTAGTCCTCACCTTCTCAGTTTAAAGTAACTAGGACCGATCAAGTTCTTAAATGAGGAATTATTTCATGTAGCACTTAAGTTGGTTACATTGCATTTCTTTGTTAACCCTACGAAGCGATTAATTAGTTTTTTAAATGTCAAACTCGTGGGGTCTGTTTATTCGGTTGACGTAGTCTATACCAGTTTTTAGTCAGAAGTATATTCGGCTTTACTGAATAACAGTAGTGATCCTTCAATCTGTGTTATGGACAAAATACATATTTCAAAAGCTTATTTCCTGTTTTGGGAAAAAGGATATCCAGATGAAGTTTGAAGCTGCATTAATAATAGAGCGTAAAGACAACCTCTCATTTTCGTGTTATCTGTAGGGTTTTCGATTCCAATGAGGAATGGCTCACAATGATCGCTAACAATTTACTGCAAATAGTTGGACCTAATTCTCTACATCCATCTCAAAAAACCATTCAGCTTCATTTGTTTTTATGCGTACAAGTTTTTTTATTTTTCACTTCCACCAATTGGGATGTAATTCAATCATTAGAATGCTTAAGTAACATGAAATAACAGTCATTATTACGCGAAAAAAATTACATATTTATTTAACTTTTTCCAAATGACATTAATGCACATGTAAGGAATGAATCGAAGTGGGATATCCATGTATGATAAAGAAATGAACTTTTTATTTATTTAAACACATGAACATTGGTACAAGGAGGTACCAAAAATATATGCGCCACACAAATCGAATGATTTGCGTGGGGACTGAAAAATTACCCAGGTGCCCAAACCGAAGCAGGTGGATTTTTTATGGGGCCACACCCCGAGCCTTTAACCTAGAGGTATAATCCACAAGGCAGTGGAACAACGTCAGAAGATGCAGTCCCATGGTAGCCGGTGACCAACGATTGGTTCATACGCCATTTGTTCCTTCAAGATACTAGAGCCCATGTACACTAATTGGTTTGAAATCAAGTTTTTCCAACCCTCCCATGTAGATCCTCCATATCCACCAACCCGGTTAAAGCACTAGACATTCGTTTTTCGCCCTCTTAATTTCGTAAAGAACACCCCTGCCTTGAGAAATGAACTTAGTGAAAAGCTTTTATACATGCATTTGACGAAGTAAGCCATACTTTATATTTAACAATGAAGCAAACTGAAACCTTTTAATATACTTACTTTCGTTTTGGAGTCAGTTGAGACGTCGAGTTTGAGCTAGACTGAGACATTGGGATTAGGAGCTTTTGTCTGGCGATTACCGCACTCATTCTCGAGGATGGGCGTCTTGACAGGGCATCCGAAAGATCTGTACGTTTATTGGTTTTTAGTCTCAATGAGCTTCTTACATTCCTTCTCACAAGCTTTTTGTTAGTAGAATGTGAGGTTCTTCCTGGATTTCTAGTAGGCTTCTGGGAATTTTCTAAAATTACTGAGTTCCTTGGTCTTAATGAGACGTTCTGGTCGTTTTTTTTAGATGTAGATGTTTTAATATTCCTTCTAGAGTTTTTATTAGGACGAGATTGATTTTGCTTTGCATTATTGGGTTGTGGGCTTTTCTTAACCTTAATGTTTACATTCTTACTCGGAAAGACGGAAGATAATCGTTGACTTGTATTCTTTATTTGAGAAAAGGTCTTGTTTGAGGAAATTTCATTAACTTTTACAACAGAATCAAGTGTGGATTGTTTTTTGTTTGAATTTGAGTCTGATAATTTACTAATACGTGGGCGTTTAAGATTTTCTTGTGGAGTTGTTTTTCGACGCTTTTTCCTATTAACAGCTTCTCGGTTAGGGGTAGACGGTCTCACTTCCTGTGTTTCTGTAATATCAGCACAAACTTTAGGATCAGTTTCTGAGGACATGTTATTACTGGTAGATGGTACACAAATGGATATAATCTCCTGTTGTTGATCTATTTTATCTCGGCTGTCTGACAGGGAGTTCTTATTATCGTTATTGCTTCCATATCCTGATAGCTCGTCAATATTATTATTTGATTTAGTCTTAAATTTCACCTCATTTTTCTCCTTTTTCTTATGACTGACTGTTTCTTCTGCTTTTTTCCTACATGAAAAGAAACATTCTGAGTCTCAGGAAAGTTCATAAAAAACAATAAAAAACGGGATAATTAGTGAGGAAATTGTACACGGTTAACAGGCCCAGTTTAACTAAGTAAACTGTTTGTATGTAACCGAAAGAACAGCTAGATTTTAGTACATTAAAAGATGATAAACTAACAACGATAAATTTAGTATCTCATGACTAATTTGACATAACCATAAAGAATTTGACTAAATATTGAAAATCTAAGTAGCTGGCCACTCAACAGTATTCATAAACGTTTAGTTTACAGCGCGAAATCTATATACTTGTGCGAACCTGATTTATATTAGTCAGTCCTTGTGATAAGTAATTAATTATTCGTAGAACGCACAAAACCAACAACTTTGGTTTAGAAGGAAGTTTTAATTCAACCACAATCGGATGATGAATGGATTTTCAAGATTCTTAATAAAACTCCTAATTGTGTGAAAAAATTTGGGAGAAAACTATTGTCTTTTGTTCGTAACTGTAAAGTTTTACATCTTTTAGCACTGCATAATCTTACCAAATACTAAATTGCTAGTGAAGAATCAAATACTCCCATCTCGGCACCGGTTGGGAGATGATTTGAGTTGGCAAAAATATAAGTAACGTAAAACCAGAAGTCAATAATTAAGTTAGAAACACGTTAAGCTACTAAACAGTTTCATCTTAGTGAAAAAATATGTCCATATGACGGGACTATATTGTTGTTCTGGCCATTACTGATAACCAATATAGTGTAAAAATAGTTAACTAAATACCTTGGCTTTGAAGTATTAACACCTTTGGGTTTTACAAGCTCAGGAGGAATTAATCCCTCTTTAAATGCTTTTGTGTGTTTGTTGGGAGTGAACTGTAAAATTGGTTGGACCTTATTTTTGATGGACATTTCCAAAGGTGGATTTGTAATGCTTGTACCTGTTTGTGCTTCACTTTCTGAACCGATATTTATCAGTTGCTTAAAATCAGGATTGCGAAAATCACTTGGTGCAGAGGTAAAAAGAGTTTTAGGTAACTTGACATCCACCGGATACTCTTTAATTGTCGGATTAATGCAACGTGATAATAAAAGACCCAAAGAAATATCGCATACAGTATACAGTTTCTGTTGAGTAAATAATAAAAAAGGAGAAAATACAACAGTAAAGCAATATCAGTTGTCAAAAGTTACAAGTCTCGACTTTTTTATATATCTAATATAATTGTTAACACAGCAAAAAACCACACAATTCCAGTCATTTATCAACAGCCTGAGGAAGGTTTAGTCGAATCTTAATTGAGTATGCAGTTTCAAGTGTGGTAATTTTTTTCACTAAGGTTCAAACACAAGGCTATAGGGGTGTCCAATTGATAAACGTATTTTAAATACTTATGCATGGACATTTAGTTCGAGTTTCAAAATGAAAACTAATTCATAATCAAAATTAAATAGAATACAACACGAGTAATTGACTTTACTGTTGGTCATCAAATATATAGTGAAGGTAACGTTCAAAAAGCGTGAGTATGCTAACAGATTGATAAATTAAATCAGATACGGAAAACACTAAGTTTTAATGGAGATTTTCCAACAATAACTGTGATCTATTACTATCGCGTGAATAATTTAACATTGAATTGATAAAGAGCGGATTGATAATAGTTGGATTTACAATAAATCGTACAAGATTATGAATATACTATTATTCGTATTCCAAATTTACGTTAACTCGATAATCCAGAAACTGGAGAAAAAACTAACAGTATTCAATTGTTATGGATACAAACGTTAAACGAGGTAAGGTGAAGGCCATATGCAAGTGCAATGGCTCTGGAAAACGTTTCCATTTGAGATCGATAAGTTCTAAGTTGATCATACGTTTGAATACTAAACTAATGGTCAGTTTTCACTTGATATTCAAATTGGATGGAAACAAGATGCTTAAGAGGCTTATAATAATACATATATTTACTTTACAAAAACATTATATATTGATTAAGAGGAATGCAACACTTTCATACACACGATTAGAAGATGCGACAGGGGCGCTAATAATATTCTCAGTGCTGTAAACAGCACAAAAGAAAACTAAAAGCTGCCCACACCAAGGTCTACTTTCCAATATTTGCCATTTTATTATTGTTCAGCGAGTTAGTCCTAACTGTGATTACCATCTTGGCGTGATGGTCTATTGTGGTGATCCAATCGAACTATATTTCCTAGGACATTCATTTACTTAGGTCCTAAAATATCAGCCAGTTCTGTTGGAGGAACGTAAGAATAGACGCAGCAGCTTGAGGTACAACAGAGAAGTACTGTTAATTGCATAGAGCGTGATAGCAGCAAGGCAGTTTCCCGTCATGTAATCAGCATCTACAGAGATGTTGCATCCTCACAAAGGGAAGGAAAGGCTATGAAATGTTGATCCTGAAAATGTCA